TGGTGTATGATGAGTGGTGTATGATGAGTGGTGTATGATGAGTGGTGGTTGAACAGCTGTTGAATGTCCGTAACACGGAAGTTTTGCACACTAAACTTCCTTTGACAAATATACTTGTTTTACGTAACTATACATCTATATCTCCAATTGAAGGGTTTGACAATGTGTTACATCGCTTTATTGACTTTTCCTGCTACCCACAGGTTTTAAGAAAGTTTCTTTCCAGATAATTCTGCCATGGAGCAGTAGAACAGATCCATTGACAGTATTCCGGTGTGAGAATTCAAGTTGTGCTAGGTGGAGGTGAGAGTTGCAAAAGCAATAGAGATTTTGAGTGGAGGTTTGTAGCTATACTGTATACCAATAGGAAGCCTTAGAACATGAACGTGGCATCACATGCTTATGCTTGACCGCGGGGCCACTCAATGTGATAAGACATGCTGTTAGTATATAAGTATGTGCATGACGCTATCAAAGACGGGAGCAATCTCTTTGCTTAGTTTTTTTACCATCAAACCTTTCTCTATATCAATGCACATCAACTTGCGCCGGTTCTTTCCGCTTGCCTCAAGTCATCCCCCCCAAAAGAAGGAACACCGAAAAACAAGGACCTCATTGAAGGGAGCCTTTGCTGAGAATCTTTCCGTTTGCCAAAGGTGAGGCGCAGTGATTCTTGGACCGTTGGAGTTGAATTTTTTCCCAGGCGCCTCTCTAAAGCACTTCTTGGACATGCTCCAGAGCTTTCTGGTCGCCAGCACGGTGCGAGCCGAGATCGGTTGAGTCTGCGGAAGTGGGATTGATCGGCTGAAAAATATACAGTAGCAACTGATGCCTGTTTGTAGTTTTCATGAAACGAAAACTAGACTGTGGTGTCGTTTGTAAAACCATGTGAGACGGGGGAATACAGAGAAAATTATACTGTAGGATGTTTGACTGCAGATGTAGATTTTGGACGTTAGATCAGATGACCTTCAGGACATCCGGGATACCTCATCCACTGTCGATTGGAACCGGACAATTTTTGTTTTTTTGTCAAAATCTGCGATCGATCGGATTTTTGGTCGAAGTAAAGGCCTCCATTGTGAAGTGCCGGCGAGAGCGCGAGCAGATGATCCGGAACTGCAGCTTGGTGAAGCAGGCGCGGGAGACATATTTGCTCCGGCACTCGCCCACAAGAGTACCTCGAAAATCAGAGCTTTGGACGAATCGTTTGGATTTTGGAGCACCAATCGACTTTGGGTCGTCCAAAGTTCTTCCCGTGGAGCAATCCAACCTCGCGTTGATATGTTTCATGATCTACTGAGATTGCAGCCATGCCTTGTTGCAGATCAAAAATGAAGTAAGAAGTATGACATGACACAATATCATAAATCATAATAGATTTTCCACCAAAGGTGCCGAGTGAGTGTGCCACTTGCAAACGAAGTTGCCTTAGACAGAACTACTACAGCATAGCTGCAGATGTGCCATGGGCGAGAATCGCCAGTGTCCACACGAAGAGACACTTCCGGACCCGCAGCAGTCCAGGCGGCAGCAAGTTTGGGAGAGTGAGGTTCATCCAAGTTTGATGAGCAGCTGGAGTGTTTCGATTGCTCCCTCGACAAAGAAACCCCTTTAGCTGGTTTGGAGGATGTTTTCAGATATGGAAAATAGAACCTGAAGAGACCCAGGAATAAAGACTGTCTACGTGTGGTGCTTCAGGCCAAGCAAAACCAACATATGCATATGCATTTCGATATGATTCAACACCATGAAATGTGTGAAACACTGGAACATTGCCAAGCACTGCTATATGATGCCATATGTTTCTAGACTTGTTGTCAACGTAGGATATTTTACAAGGATAATGAAGCTCTTGCACACCAAGAATCTTAGGAAGGAGAAGGCTCAACAATAGATTGTGTTTCGATTCAAAGCTGAACCATCTATGAAGAACGACATCATCGTCATCATCATCATCATGATCATCATCATCATCATCATCATCATCATCATCATCATCATCTCGTGTACATAGATTGATTCCCAACTCTCCAACCATAGGTTTGTGAAGGGGATTGCATTTCAAGGGAGGGCTTACTGTTATATAAAGTGTGCTTGCTATAGTCGTGACTATTCACAGTTCTTGTTTGGCTCCGCAAGCAGCATTTATTTCTAGTCTTTAAGCGCATTGTTTTTGCCCGTCCCAATCCAAAGAGTCAGCGGTTTTTTAAATACATAATATATTGTATACTATTATACACATAAATACACATGATTTTATGGTTTTGCTATTGAGAAGACACGGCACCAACAGAAAGAGCCCTCGAGGGGAGCCACTGTTCGACTGCACAAAGGCACCTGTCGGCATAGATTTGAGTTTCCCCAAACCACCTCCTGTTGAGGGAAGATCACCTTTACCAGCCTTCACAGAGGATATATGCCGTTTTTCTGTATGCCGGGTGCTTGCTGCTGTTCCATCAGCGGTATTCCAGAGTTTGACTGGCCAGGCACTCGATCACTTCATTGTCCTCAGTTGCCAAGACTGAGTTGGTAAGGGGCGTGCCATTGGATCTTTGTTTGCAGCTCCTCAGATAGAAAAATTATGAAAAATTGAACAAGACATAACAAGACAACAGTTGACAAATGGTTGAATCCTGGATTGCTTGGTTGGCCACATACCAGGAGATATGAGTGAACCATTCTTTCGCGGACCCAAATGATTTATCCCACCTTCCTTCATAAACTCACTTCATTCTGAAATTCTTCAGAACTGCAATTTGACACTTAGAAAGGGCTTCTATCCAAGGAACTGGGGTGTTCACTTTCGAGCTCCGCATGTTGGAAAGGAAGTCGACAACTTTGGACTCAGTCATCCAGCGGAGCACATCGATGCCTTCTTGAGCCACGATTGGAGAACATCGCGTTTCTCAAAGACAATAGCGTTGTTCCTGATATTTAACAGTTTGCCAGCTTGTTTTGCAGCATGTTTGACGAGCCTCCTTGCTTCTGGGATGATTGCGCTGGACTCGCTTCCGGGGAGCTGGATCACTGGCAGTGCTGCAACCCATGCTGTATTTTATTTGGTGTTCTTTTTCGGGCAGCGCCTACGACGGCTTGCCTGTTTGAAGCCTACATTGGTTTTTCTCGATCGCCTTTGCATTGCTCAGAATGATGAGGAACTCAAGCAAGAAGGAATCTGAGCGATTCATCCAGTTGTTCAATGGCAGGGGTAAGCAGGTTTCCCCACCAGAATCGGATAGAATTTTCCAGAAATCGGCAATGGCTCACAGAAGCTGAAGTCTATTGATTTCTGTGTAGTCTCCGACATTGATACCAAGCTCACCCCCTGAGCGCGCGAGGAGTACGCAATTTGGCAGGGATTCTCGCAAGATCCCGAAAGCTTGTGATTTTGTGGTCGCCTCGATACTTTACACGGCTCCTTGTCTCCATTTGTATAGCTCAACATTGAGTTCTGAAAATTGTTATTGAACCCTGAGTCCAAGCTTGGCTTAGGCTTTGGTGCACCTTTGAATTGGCCACATTCCTGAAAGAAGAGAACGTGAAACCGATTCAATTCATGCCCACGGCCATGGCTTTACTACTGTGGTCCGCATCACTGGTTGTAACGATTGGCGTCTCCGTTTATCAGTCCGTCACTTATCGGACCCAGGCAGGCATTCTTGAAGAACCTGCAGGGTGGAGCCTAAACAGCATCCTCATCAATGGTTCAGCCATGTACATCTCCATGTTCCTTGTCATGGCTGCACCGATCTATTTTGGTATTCAACACATGCGGGACCTCCTGAAGTTGGAACAGCAGATGACTGGCTTTAGCATCAAGGCATCTGAGCGCCCTGCATTTTGATCATAGATGATGTCCATGACTTTGGCACACGTTTTCCCAACTGCTCAACCTTACTTTTGACCACGGAAGCAAGCCTCTGTTTGTTTTTGGGCAGCAAACTTAAAGACCTGACCTATCATTTGCCTGTGGTTATGTTTTTTGGTGCTTGATCGCATTGAATCAGCAACAGACCTCGTGATCAAAGGTGCACTTGCTGCGTGCTGAATCATCGCAACCCGGTGACCGGTGAGCCGCTGCTTTGCGATCGAGAACTAGTATTCCAAACCTTGAAAAGATGGCTGCTTCTGCCTTTGTTGAGCAGATCTTTTGTGAAAATTGTCTTTGTATCTCTAGGAAGATGGACATCTCTCCATCAACAATTCACAATGTTCAATAGGCTATAGGCTATAGGACTTTATCCAGAAGAGGAATAACGCACTTTCAGACATTATGATCCTCCTCCTTTGTGCAGATGCACAGGTACGGCACAGACACTGGCTCCGATGATCACCTCGACCGCTTCGACGGCGTCGTCCGAGAACGGCTGCGCCGCTCGGTGCTTCGGGTGGTCGGATCCGGTGCTCCGCCGTTGCGCTACCTGCTGGCGATGGTGGGGACGCCTTCGGTGGCAGTGTGGCCGCAGTATGTCTACTTGCGCAATTCAGAGACCTGGTGGCGATATGTATATATATAATATATATATATAATTACTATGTGTTAGGTATAGTATAAGATCTTTGCTCAATTATTGTGTGCTGATTGTTCTGGATGGAGTCTTACAACACGGGTTCCATCGGGTTCCCACCGGCTGGATCTGGCTGGAACTGGGGGACAGCTTAAGGCTTAAGGAGGTTTCATCTTTGCGAGTTGAATCATGCTGAACAACTTTAGACACATAGAATCTATAGAACCATTTCTGGCAGAAAGTATTTGGTGCCGTCATCTTCCAACCCATCAAGCAACCATGTCCCTTTCTGTCGAGGAAAAGGCGTGGTTTGCCACTAAGTGGCTAATCGATTTCTGGAAGCTTCCAGCAGTGGCGCTTTGGGCCTTCTGGGTTTTAGTTGCTTGCTGGAGGACAGGCGCAGCAGTGTCCCGACATTGTCCGATGTGGATGGTGCTTGCAGGGATGGATTTGATGGCTTGTTTTCTGGTTCCAGCAGTTTGGGTGCCATACGAAGTGCTGAATGAGAGATATCGAGACCCTGTGGTGTTGACGATCTCCGTGGTCCTATTTTGGGCATTAATTGTTGTGATGTACGGCTTGCTGTACAAACAGAAGAAATGCCGCGTTTGAGAAATGGCTGCAGCGAAAAGGGTTGCATCTTGACAGTATTTGGCATTGCACCTCTGTTTTGGTACTCCTATGTTACTATGTTGTTATACAATGTTATACATCCATGCAATTCCATTGTATTGACCTTGAGGATTGTATTCCAACCTGACATGTTCACAGTCGGACTGGATACATGTGGATAGTAGTTTGTTGGTGGTGGCTTAATTCTCATCCACCCGTTTGTAGCAAGATGATCAAGATGCAGTCAGACGGTTCTTTTTTTTTATTCTTTTTTGATTGTTTGCCGTGTAGCTGCAGAGATGCGGCAGGAAAGGGTGTCCCCATCTTTGAAGAACTCCCACAGTCACTTCCGCCATCGACCAGCATCGTCAGACCTTCCAGCCAAGGGTGATTGTTACCCTCAAAAGAGCTTTCTATGGGTGCAAAATTTGTTGTGACGGAGGTGTTTAGCATGGACAGCTCCGCACGCTCAACATGACATGTGCAACTCATGCCGGTGTACAAGCCTATGGGTTATGGATGGAAGTATAATTGAATATAATTGACACGGACATGGTGTTCATCGTTGTTCATTATTCTGTATAGGCTTGGATTCTCTCTCGCTTGGTGTGGCTCGCAAAGACACAGGCTGAACAAACCTTCAGCCTGCAGGACACCGTGGATGAACTCATTGAGAGCGGATGCTGCCTAGTCCAAAGCAGTCGTATAAATCCTTTGGAAATCCACCAAAAAGACTCTACTATAGAAAGCCAATGTCACTTTGCCATGGCTGTTCTGCTTTTCACATACCCCTGGGCCGGTCCGTTGCTCCACCATGATTCGGTCTGAGCCTGTGATCGAACCAGAGCCGTCCAGGCAGGGCTCTGCGAGACCGGGACGGCTCTGCGAGACCATGAATTCACATGGAGAGAGGACATGGATGCATGGAGTATTCTTTGACCAGTCTTCTTTTCCACCTGGAAATACAAAACATGAGTTCTATTCGCATGCCCACTTTTCCACCTGGAATCTGTTGGAATGAGTTCTATGGCATGCGTTCAGACGCCTTGGGCTCTAAAGATAGTACTGCTTTCCTGGACCGGAGTCATTTTTTCGAGTTTGCAACAGGCTCACAAGCGTCACCTCTTTGGCTTCTGTGGCGAAGAAGGACATGGTGAGAGCTGTTCCCTTGGATTTGTGCTTGCAGAGCCTCAGATTCAGGATATGTTTGACATGTCGGGTTGGATGTGACAAACTCTATGGTCTCAAAGCACCCCTGCACCAGCATGTGTGAGTTGCTGGGGGATCAGACTGCTCACCCGAAGCAACACAAACGCAATTGTTTATCTAACCAGGAGTTTGATTGCTTCAATATGCTTCATTTGCTTTCAAAGTATCGCAAGCTCACTCTGTATCTGTACGAGTATCTTTGTAATCCCGAGCACCTATTAAAAGCTACAAGCAACAAATCAACTCGAGTCGGACACCCCTACGTACAGATTGCTTTTGGATTGAACTACTCCCTTTACTTACTTACTACCACTCTTACTTCTTTTCCTACTCCTACTACTACGACGACGACGACGACTACCACCACCAACACCACCACCACCACCTGCTGCTACTACTACTACTACTACTACTACTACTCACTACTCACTACTCACTACTCACTACTCACTACCCACTACTCACTACTCACTACTCACCACCCACTACTCACTACCCACTACCCACTACCCACTACCCACTACCCACTACCCACTACTCACTACTACCTACTACCTACTACCTACTACTACCTGCTTCTACCTACTACTACCTACTACCATACTACCTACTACCACCTACAACCGCCTACTACCTACTACCTACTACCTACTACGACTGCTGCTGCTGCTGCTGCTGCTGCTATTGTTATATACTGGTATCCACAGACCCGAATTGCCACCTTTCGTGTCGCTCACCGGCGAAACGCCGGGTCCCGTTTCGGTCCCAATTTCCAGCGGCGCAGAGTGACGAACGCGGAACTTCCACGAGGCAAAGCGACATCACCGAAGTTAAGATCGTTACTTAATTAAATTGAAACCGTAGACTATACAAGCGAAGAATATTTGATTGACTGGTTAATTAATAGAGGGTTTTGTAACGCGAAGAGGAAGACCCTTTGATTTGGATTTGCTTTTTCAATGCTTGATACGCGTTGACTAAAGGATTTTATATCATGTTGTCCCAGGCGACTTTAAGCTCTTCCCAGGTATTCATCTTTCGGGGTTCCCCTATTTTAGGGACCGCCTATTGAAAAAAAAACACAAAACGGTGACCGGATGCTGGGAGTCGTGTTTTGAAACCCGACTGCTGCGTTTTGCTTTCTACCTTGCTGAAAACTATTCTTTTCATGGGATTTAATCCTTCTCAACAATTTGAGTCAACAACAGGGCTTTGCTTAGAACCTAGATACAGTAGAGGTGGCTGCAATTCTGCGAGGAACGTTTGGCAGCGCTTGTTGGCAAATGAACACCCAATACGTCAGGTGTGCTGAATTAGTCTCTACATTGCAGACTAGATACTGTACTGTATATAATATATATATATAATATTTATGATAGTCTGCAGCTGTTGCTCTTTAAGGTCCAATTGTCGTGCTTTTCAGGTTTTTCTGGAGTGATCTGCACGTAGCATCCCAGCGCAAATGAACAAGACGATCCAAGGCGATGGGGCATCCATTTCCGCACGACACCAGAGGATGCAGCCGTGGACAACTTTGAGCTCAGCCAGCCATGCGAACACATTGATGCCTTCCTGAGTCACGATTGGAAAACATCGCGTGTCTCAAAGACCATAGCTTTGCTTTTGATCTTCAACAGCTTGCCCGCTTCTTTGGTTGCTTTATGCGCAAGCCTCCTGACTTCGGGGATGATTTCAATGGAGTGGCTTCCAGGGGGCTGGATGACTGCGAGCGCAGCCACTCACGCAGTATTCTTTTTCTTTCTATTCTTTTGGCAACGCCTCCGGCGACTCCTTTGTTTCACACCTGCCATGGTGTTTTTGGATCGGCTTTGCATTGCGCAGAAGGACGAGCACCTTAAACAAGAAGGCATCTCAGCAAGCCAAATCAGGAGTTGTGAGATGTTGGAAATGTATGGAACATGTGAGGCCTTCATACACTTTAGCCACCCCTAGTGATCCCTGAGTCATTAGCCCATTTGGGAGTCCCGGGGTGTTTTTGATGTAAAGGGGTATTCTGCAGCGCTTTGTCATTAGCTTGTTTGTTGTCCTGTTCTCTCACGCGTTTAGACCGACAATACGTTCAACAGCGTAAACGGGTCAACTGCCTCATAAACCAACCAGACGTGTCAGTGATATCTATTCTATTGTGTGTGGAACTCCACAGCCCTTTAAGGAATATTCAATTTGGCCGGCATTCTGGCAAAATCCCGGAAGCTGGTGATTTTGTGGTCGCCCAGATACTTCACCCGGCTCCTTGCTCAGATATGGTGTCTCAAAAGGTGATGATGGAGTGAAGGGAGCACTAGCCGCTAGGGTTTGAGTGAAGTTCTGAAAAGTATATGGGTTTGAATTGGAGTGCATGCAGAATGGTTCAGATTGCTGAGCCAGCCAGTATGTCAGTAGAAGAGCACGTATGCGTTTGTACCAATGACTTTAGTGCTGGATTAGGCTTTGGTGCGCCTTCGAGCTATCCACCTTCCTGAAGGATGAGAACCGGGTGAAGCACATCGAATTCATGCCAGCATCCATGGCTTTGCTACTGTGGTCCGCTTCGGTGGTGAACATGATTGGCTTTTCACTTTGGCAATGGGTCACTCATCGAAACCATGTGGGTAGTCTTTACCGACCAGCAGGGTGGAGCCTGAATGGCATCCTCATCAACTGGTTGGCCCTCACAGTGTCCATGTTTTTTGTGATGACTGTGCCCATTTATTTTGGTATTCAACACATGCGGAACCTTCTGAAGTTGGAGGAGCAGATGACCAGTTTTAGCATCAAGGCATCTGAGCGCCTTGCAAGATTGAAAACGCAGTTCGAGCTGCACTTGTTTGACGATTGGTTGTGTTTTGGATCAATCCTGAGGGCCAAGATATTCAACAGACTGTGTACTTTAAAGTCCTTCCGACGTCCCATCAAGGCAACGACTTTGTAGATTTCACCGCCCACCGCATTTGCAAAGGTGCACTTGCTGTGCGCTGAACCACTGCAATCCAGCAACAGGGGAACGGCTACTTTGTGACCGAGAAGTTGTCTTCCGAACCTTGAAAAGATGGTCCTTCCAAGAAATCGCCAGAAACACTTTGTTTTTGTGACCTATTTTCCGACTGCATGGCTTGTCCCTCACCGGCAAATCGTGAGCTATCGGATCGTCACAAAGAAACAACATGAATTTGGGACACTTTTTTGGGCTCGCCAAGGTACGAGGAGACAGGGGAAGGTGATCATTTAGACCACTTTGACAGCATTGTCCAAAAGCAGCTGAGCAGCTCAGTGCTCCAGGTGGTTGGATCAGGGGCCCCATCCCGGCGCTACGTGCTGGCCATGGTTGGAACCCCATCACTGGCCGTTTGGCCACAGTATGTCTATTTACGCCATTCTGACACCTAGAATCCATAGCTTAGCCTTTTGATTTTCTCCCTTTAATGTGGTAAAAAGGGCATTTCTTGAGAATCTGAACCATGTGCGTTGACAGGAAATAACGTGGTTTGCCACCAAGTGGGCCATTGACTTTTGGAAAGTTCCAGCAGTGGCGCTTTGGACCTTTTGGGTCCTTGTGCTTTCCTGGAGGACTGGTGCAGCCTTGTCCCGGCGCTGTCCGATGTGGATGGTCGTTCCAGTTGTGGACATGATGGGTTGTGCTTTGATTGGAGTGGTGTGGGCACCCTACGAAATAGTGAATGAGAGGTATCGAGATACTACTGTCTTGACGCTTTCAGTGCTGTTGTTTTGGAGCTTGGTCCTTGCTGCGTACGGCCTGGTGTACCATCAAAGGAAATGTCGTTTGTGACCAACAGTTGGTGCTGGATTGCAGGGTTTCGCCATACTTGATGGAAAAAATAAGCGCCCCGGTCTGGAGTTGGCGACCTGAATTGGTCAGAAGAGCAGACGAGCATTGGCCAGTTATTGCCACACATCTAAGAGATAGTGGTACAGCGGTTTCCCCAGCCAAAACCTGGTTTGCAAACCAACATCCGATTGCAAACCAATCAAGCATCCGCCGCATGCTTTAAACATGTTCAACACTGACACGGTGTTCATTCTTGGAAGACCGTGACCACGATCGTGACCACGATGTCAGGTGATCGAGCTGGTGGATGACTCTTTGGGCCCTTTAAAGGTGCGGGAGTCCACGCTCTGGTTGTATCGAAGTCTCTTCACAAATTAACAGGTGCGGTGTTTTTACTGTTTTCAAGGGTCCATGAAGGACTGGACATCATGTTGAGCCTTCACCTGTTGCTTGCCTTGCCACTTGGAGTGATGTTTCTGGTCCAAATCACGTGCTGGATTCTCAACATGTTCGGAGCCGAAGGCCTACCGGGCTTAAGCCTTCCTTTCACAGGTTTGGGTGTGCCATATATGTTTGGGCCACAGGTTGTTGCGCGGGTATTCACAGCGGGATTAGCACGGCTTCGTTCCACGACGCTAGTTAGACTAGTAGGAGATTTTGGTCATTTCACGGGTGTACTAACTACTTTAACAGCCTGGCTGGAGCACCTGCACATGGGTGAGGACACGAAGACTCATTGTGTCTTAGTGTGGAATATGAATGGTTTTGATGAAGAGCATGAAGTGTGGCTGAGGTCTTGCTCCCAGCCTGAATTTCCCTTTACCATAAACTCTTTGAGATCTCAACATGTACAGGCAAGGCCAAGAATTCAATTGGTCCTTAAGCATTGAGCACAAGCATACGTCTCAAAATAGGGAGCCCCAAAAGATCTTAAAGTAGAAGATACATTTTACATGTACCATCGTGTATCATATATATAATATATATTATATATTTGATTTGTCTAGGAACCAAATCATTAGTGCGAGTATCCTGCGTCCAAGTGTATTAGCTTAAGTAGCTAGTAACTACTAGCTTACTCCCTTACTTTCATTAAGTAGGCGCCTGCTTGCTTAAGTAGGAGCGGCCGAACGGACAATTGTTGCCTTGTTTGCTTCGAGCTTATGTGGGGGCCAGTCGCCAGGACTGGATGCACAAACGTGAAGCGATGCAGGAAGAGGCATCGAAAGGGAACGGCTATTTGGGTATGCTGAATGTGTGATTCCTTCGATTCCAAGCAGGCATCGTTGTTTCATGAGGCAAACCCGGAATAACTACATTGCTCGGTTGTGCAAGACCAGTTGCCTGGATCATTCAAATTGCACCAGTCCTGGATTTGCATTTTCCTGTTACACTCAGGTGGACACGCTGCAGAAGCAGCTTGCAGACATTCAAGAAAAGGTGGGCACTTTTCGAGCGACTCTTTGGTCAGTTTTAACATGTCAGTCTTAGAGGCATCCCAAGCGTCAACGGTACCAACGCTTAGATCTGGGTAGTTTGGAACAAGATTCAGACCAATTCATTGGTCCAGGGCATTCACGGGGATCCAGCTTTTGAGATACAGTGAGATGGATTTCAAGGTTTTGGCCCAAAGAGGAATCATGCATTCCTCCGGCAGGTGAAGAAAGAACAGGTGGAGATTGACAAGGACCGTCAGTGGGACCAATCAATTTTTGTGGTCCTGTAGACCTGAGTTTCAGAATGACCAATGTAGCGATGCACTTGTTACTACTAGCTTATTGTTGCATATATATATAGTTTTCTACTAGCAATCATTGTTACTACTAGTAAGGCACTTGTTACTAGTAGCGATGCACTTGTTACTAGTAGCTTCTTGTTTCTACAGCGTGTCCAGCTGGTGAGCAAATCTATCCAAGTTCGTGCCACCAGGACGAACAGGCCAAGAAGCGGGCGGAAGCTGCTGTCCAATTCAGCAGTGAGGTGCGGCTAAGCTGAGCGCATGGAATTGACCAAAGCAAGGAAGTAGCTTCGACAGGACCAGAATCACATCGGGAAGTCCACCGTGTGCAGCCGCCTGTTTTGTGGTTGCTTTAGGTGGCGGAGCACAAGGAGGAGGCCATCAAGATGGCTCGGGAGGACTACGAGGCCTCGCGAAGGAATGAAGTGAGGATGGCAGTATGGCACGGTGATAGAAGACGCGTTTTTGGCGATACCATGCCACACAACATTTAAGTGTTTCGAGATGGAGCCGAGCTAAATCATTGTATTCAAGTGGGCACTGAAACCTGGGGATGAAAAGAGACTAAACCATACAAAACCAACCTTTTCAGGAATGCTGGTCTAGGTGCTTGGTGTATACAAAGATGCTTGGTGGATTCTGACATTCATGTGATGTGAAGGCAAGAATCCCACTGCCAATGGGCCAATGGGATGTCCCGTTTCACATCCCAGTTTTCCCACACAAAGCGTGGTTTAGAGCCGTCCCCAACTTTGAGTACAATGCATTGAACCCAGAGCTTCTTCCGGGATCCACTTAGAATATTTTGAATGAGTACCTTAGTAGATTTTACTAATCTATGGTTGACCTCACCAGGCTCGCGCTTTGTTTCTATTTTTGGATGTCCCACCAAAAGCGATGTTCAATCCTTCTGCAAGTCCAACTTTCCTGGTGAGGAGCTCATTGTCATTGATTACCCAGGGCACCGCATCTCTGTGTGTGTCAAGGGTTGGGAGGGGTTGTTGAGACCCTTGAGACACAGGATGCAGGGTTTGAACATGTTCGAACAATAATTTGAGCAAATAACACGAAACATCATGAACATATATCTTGCATGGACAGCACTTGCTGTGACTCCTGCGCAAGGAGAGCAAATGAGTATGAGGAGAGAAATGCACACCGGCCTCAAACACGGATGACCCTTTGTCTCTGATATTCAATTTCGCCAACTGCACGGAGTGTCCCTCTGAAGCCCGACATCGATGAACATGGGTCTCAAGGGTCTTTGATGCAATAGTTCACACTAATTTCATCTCATTCCTAGATATTATATAATATGTTGTGTCAGGGTGTTGGATTCTCGAGGCGAAGATGAACGCCCTGAGAGATACGATGAATCCTGAGACCATCCAAGAGCTGAATGTCCGACAACAGGCGTCCATCCGCATACGCTTGTGTAGACTTCTTTGTCTTCAGCTTCTTTGCAGTCGGATGTGTCCTTGACTTTTGTTGGTCTATCAATTTATTGATTGCATGATTTGGACACGACACAATTATATAAGTAGGCTTGTACTTGATGAGAGTATTATATTGGCTTTGCCACTGGCCACGTCAAGGCAATTCAATTGCCAGACACACAGGAGAGCTTCCTGATCTCAGAGTTGGTACGATGCCTATGCTCTGTGCTAGGCGTGAGGGGTGGTGAATGGGGACTTCGTGGTTGTGGAGCAGAAGTGATCGGCAGGGATTTTTATGCTTTTGTCTTTTTAGTTGCCTTCATGGTTTCAGGGCAAGAATCCGAGGTCCAAATGGTTCCCTATACAAGTTGGTGGGAACTGTCAATAGAAGTACTTTGACAGTGATTACATGTGATTACCGTGTTTTTTTCTAATGTATTTTTAGTTGGTGTTTTTAGTTGCAGGATTTCTTTCACCAGAAAAAACACACCTCTCCCTGACTCCCGGTACTGGTACTGTTTTTGCGCGAACTTCGTCCGCGTGGCCCAGACATCGAGCCCCAGCGGGGCCTTTGGCGTTTGCCGGTCGATCGCACCGTGTGGGGGGCGCTCGGAGATGAGATCCTCGTGCAGCGACGGCGTGCGACTTCATGCGATCCGCGTGTGTCCTTCATGCGATCGCTTGTTAGATGAGACGAAGGTGTTTTTTTGTCAGAGATTCTTGTTCAGCAATCTCCGGAGAAGAAGCTACTCCCGATTATTGTAAGACCATGTAATTAAGACCCAAGAACATGTTTGGAAGTCTTGTGGGTTGGCCCGGGTTCATTCAGTGCTATGCAGAGAATCCCCATTCAAATCTGAAATAGTTGTTGATTCTGTCCCAGACATCAACTTTCCCCGATGTTTGACTTGATTGGATCAGATTGATTGATGGAGGATGAACATCCTTGTGGAAACGCTATTGGGACAGGCCAATCTGTTTTGGAAAGTACATAGTTGATATGTATTGAAGAACACGTCCAACCTCTTGTTGAGGCACGACATGCTGAGCAGCTTGGACCCACGAAGTGTCACCAAGGAGCGTGGCAAGCAGATGTTTTGAGCTCTGGAGGATGTTTTCGTGCAGGTCGCATGGACACGAATCCATGTATTTCAACCACCAGTGGCTGGGACGGCTAGGGATCTATTGGCATGTTTTTGCTGAAGAATGCACCACTAAGACCATCAAAGTCCAGCAAACAAAGACATCCAGGACATCGCTTTTTCGTGAAACCCAGACAAGTGTTTGCTAGCATGAAAAGTGATTGGTTATTATATGATTGCTCAGCCATTTAACGCAACTGAGGCCATGGTTGCTCAGACCAAATGAGACCTTCCAACTGCCTCAGGAGGCTTCCAACCAGCTGGAGGGCCTTCAATTTGGTCAAGGTGCACGCACGGTGCACGGGTCCAGTCGTTTACAGCTTGGCAAAGGCGTCACCAAGCGCAGGGCAGCGGATGTTCAATGGACACTCCCACCCTGACTCAATAGCATGGCAAAGGTATGTCATGTATATAATGTGATGGAATGTAGATCCACCGGATGTTGATTTCTTTATACCGTAAAACCTATTTTGTTGTGAGGATGACATGAGACTTCATGAGACTTCAGAGTTGGCAAGCTTTTTGCCAATTCGGTGCCGTGTTGCAGAACGATTCCCACAAACAGCGTGTTCCATCTTGTTTTCGCGGTAACAGCCGTTTCAAAACCACAAAGCAACCCGCAACAGCAAGGCCGCGCACATCAAGCAACGAAGGTCTAAGTGGTTAATGGGCGGTGATGCTGAAAGCCATACTTCTGCATACTGCCTCATACATAGAAAAAACACCCTTAGATTAGATTTGAGGGAAAACAACAAGGTTAAAAACATCACCTTTGCTGATGCCTCACTGCTTCAAAGTCAAAGGGACGCGCCAGATTTGTTTCCATTCTGCTTTGGGTGTTATGGTTCCGAAGACAAGACAACCTGCGTCATGAAATTCCTTTTGTATGCATCATTGAAACATCTTGAAACAGTGTTTATCCTTGCGTCACCTGCATCCCACCCGGTCCCACCCCTCCATGTTTGCCAGGTGATGAGATCGGCATGTCGCCGTCGGCTCACCACGCTGCAGAGGCCGAGACGGTGGCAGTGACGTCAACTTTGAGACAGTGACATAGACAATAGAGACGTATGAGTATCAATCATGGCATGCTGTGCTGTACCCCTGAGCCATACCCCAATACACTTTGTGAGGTATACCTGTAGGGTCAAACACATCATCTCATGAGTCAAATGTGGCAAAGAACTGCCAAATCGGCCAAACCGACATCACCACCGTTATGATCCGATATTTTTTCAGAGATGACTGGCTGGACAACCCTGATACCTCCACAATCTCCGCTACATATTTGTTGTCATTTTATGTGCAGTTTGTGACGTCATTGTTTTGTTTAACAAAGATTACTGAGCGACACTCCCTGGAGTGCCACACCTGGTGCATGTCCCCCCAAAGTGCCTTAGAGCTGATCGGACAATAGGAATCAGCAAGCAATCAGGCACTGGTTCTCTACTTGCGATCGCTTTTGCAGCTGCTCAGGCGCTGGTCATGGAATGCCAATACTTTGCGTGTTACTGTCTTTATTAAACCTCGCAAGCGGCTTGCTCTTGCGGCATTTCTGCAGACCTCACGGATTTGTTCTGGCAGTCCAGGCTAACTAGGCAACACAACCAAATCAGTGTGCTCGTGCAGCCAGCTGCAGATGCATGTAGCTAGTACTCACTGGTTAGTGAAATAGTAGTCCCAAACATTCCCAAACTACTGGCTGGTACTGCCCTGAAGAAACTGACGCGTTCAATCCGAGCTTGAGCAGCTGCCATACCCCTCAGGGTGGTCGGACGAGATCGAACTGCTGCTGAAGCCCTTGTTGAAGAGGCATGGCTTAGCTTTTGGAATCACTATGTCATTAGCACATGGCTTGGTGTTGGGTCTCAAGGCGATGTGTGTGTGCTTTGTTACACTTATTGATGTTTGCAGCGTGCTATCGAGCGTTTCCTGAATGCAAAGGTGGTGGAATGTCCAAAAGCGCGATGTAAAACTGCATCCAGCTACACCAACAGACCGACTTGTATGCAGTAACGCTGTTTCTTCATGCTTATAAGCATATAGTTAGATAAATTCATGTAATATTTCTGTAGAGATGTAGATATAGGTTCACCCAAGACAATGTGAGCTAGCTTCGGTGATTCAGCTTAGCATTGTCATTGCTTTGGCATGGGCATGTCCCTGCCGTTTTGTTTCCCAAGCCGCATAGCCCATGTCCCTGCCTTTTCGCCGATGACTCCTGGCCTCACAGGAGGAGCTTTTGCAAGAGGCCAAGGCACGGCTGATTCTCGGCCGAGAGACCCTTCGAGCCTTGGCTGAGACGAGTGAGCTGGGCCAGGTGAGCTGGAGGCATTTGCGATCATCTCCTGAGTCCCTGCCAAGCCCTGCTAACACATCTGACGGCTGGTCAATGGTGATGAACAGTTGCTTTGAAGACCAGTGAAGATGAGATGTCTCTTTGAAGGTGTGAGAAGTGTTACTCTACAACATACACACACATTTAGATTAAACACCTAAGAAATTTCATGCGAGGTTCCCCAAAACTGACGTTTCCACAAAATGCTTATTATGTTTTGACCGCGCATGTATCCTTTCTTTGTGTAGTCTGCTCAGGTACCTGGCAACAAAAGATGTCTGAGACGAAGGCTCACCTCAAGGGCAACTGTGGCTTACCATTTTGAGTTCACCTCAGAAATGTAAGATAGTAACAAGTGCGTCGCTACTAGTAACAAGTGCATAGGCATTGTTGCCACATTTTCGGACCTGCACGTGCGTGCATTAAGAAACCTGTCACTCTTTCAGCGAGATTCACTCACTTTTTGCTTGAGATATTGGCTGAGTCGTTGCCAGCCACTGTTTGCCATTGTGGCTCTTGCATGACCTTCAGCTTGTCATTGGTAAACAGTGTTTATTGCAATCCCCAGCAACCTCCGCAGTTGTTGCAATGTCACCGAGACATGACAACCGCGCTGGGGCCCGTCTGAATCAACGGGACGAAGGACGAAACCAGCGGTTGAGTGCCTTACCACACTGCGCGGTCAATCTTTAGAGTTCAATCCACTGCGAACCTCACCAATTGGATCCAATTGGCGAAACTGTAAAGGCCTAGTTTTGCACTTAAGCCTTCTCAGTAGCAAAGGAAGAAGGACTAGACTTTGACAATTGACAAGTACCAAGAATTATGTGTCCTGACTTGGGAAAGCCAACTGTCCAAATGTCCAGCTGCCTAATTAAGTGGAACGGGTAGTGTTTTCCGTGTCCTGACCACCAACAATCGATGGCCGGCCATGGCGCTGTGGCTTCTGGCACTCGCCCTTTGGCGAGTTTGTTCAGTCGCAAAAGGTCCTACAGAGCACCAAGGGGGGTAGGTTTCGCCACAACTCGTGGCCAGGATATGCAGTGGTATCACTGGTATGGGCACCCCATTTACTTGTTCTGCGTGTTTTAGGACTTCCGACTGCATTTGGACCTCTTTTGAGCAGCGTTTTTCATCCAGACCGATGCAAGAAGGAACTCCATAGATGAAGCTTCTGAAACAGACGGGAATCGATCTCCATCCTGGTCCACGAAACCTCATTTTGGGGCACCTCCACCTTCCTCTCCGATTCCTCTCCTTTCTCTTTGGCTATTGGGTTGGGAGGCCATCACTTCCAGGTCGGGGGGGGGGCAGACGCACCGAGTCGTCCGAACCTCTTGGAACCCGACCGCGGCGCGCACTGAGTTCCTTGGGGCCGACGCGGTGACCTTCGCCGACTTGGAGAGCGTCACGTTGGGTCCCTCCTTGGCCGAGAGCTTCAAGGCACCGAAACGGAACCGAAACGGAAGGGTTGAAGGGGTGGTGTCGGTGGTGTTGATGAACAAAACATATCATGGATTCATGAACAGGGGTGAAGACTGGGTGGACTGGACGGTTGAGCGAAAAAATAGCCGCCAGAGGTTCAGGAGGTCAGCATGTCAGCATGTTTGGGTCAAATTTGAAGATGGCTGGGTTTTACATGGCTTGGCTTTGCATTCAACACAATTCCGTTTGGAGAGCGACATCTCATGACACCTGTTTCATCTTGCAGTTGTTAGAAAGAAGAATGGGAACATTGTGTACAATTTATGTATTTTCTCTTGTTTGTCTATGTTTGTCTCTATCCAATGTGGATGGCAAATCTAACTCAAAGGCAACTGGACTTTGGTTGATGCCTCAGAGCGTTGACCGTTGCTGACCAGACGTGCTTAAAAAAAATATCCACCACAAGGTAGATTCATTTGATCGTATTCGATCATTCAATCTGACGCCGCAATGTGGTCTTAACCTGCAAGACCAAGACCAGGGTCAGGGGACAACTCATAGTTCCCAGCTACCAGACATCGGGAAACCTGCGGAACTATGTCTGCCACTGTCAGGTGAGCTTGGTCAGGCCCGAGGGCGAGCCACCCAACTCGGGGCAGAGCCTTTGGGTTAAGCTGGCAGAGCTGTTGAGAATCACCTGCCATCACCAGTGTATACAGTGAACTGTGGGGAAGCCTTTTTGAGTGAACCTACCACTAGTAGGCCTTTTATGGGTGCGTGAATGGATGTGGGACAAAGCATACACAATCAACATTGATATTTGTCAGGGCGTATACCCTATCCCGCCACTGGGAAAACCTCAGTAGCTGTTCTTTTTCATCGATCACATGCAGATCTGAGGAAGACGTTGGTGCAGCAGTCGAGTCTGCAACTGCTCAGCAACCCGGTCTTTCACTGAAAAATGGCTCGATCTCAAAGATCCGTGAAAAAGATCCCAACGATCACTCAGATCTGTTAAGATGTAGACCCGGTCTTGCCAATTGGGTTTTGCTTGACAAATCCGGTGCCCTAAAGATCCAATGTACAGCCATGGAGAACAATGGACTGTACATTCCCAATGACTGTCTCTTGTTGTGCCACACCGTTTGGATTTAAGAAAGCACCAAACGTAAGGAGTCAATGAACCATAACGACAAACATGTCACAGGCTGATAGGTGATTCAAGTACGTTCAAGTGGTTTCAAGTTTAAAGACACCCTGATGTAATTTGAAGGTGGACTTATATATATATATATGTGACAGTTAGGAATTGGAACGAGCTGGAATTGGTTTTGTTTGCTTAGATATATACATGTCCTATGATGTCCTATGTATGGTTTTGGGTGGTACTTGGCTGGACATTTGAGGCGACGACGAGATCAAGACCTTAGAGGATTATGATGCCTGGAAGTATTATTTGATGCATTGTTGTTGGTGCTTCGAAGAAAGGGCATGTCCTGGTAAAGGGACTAATTTGCTGAGAAGGTCTTCAAGGAGTTGCAAGTTCTTTGTATAATTATATAACTATGACCGGACCTGTTTATTTGGCCAAACAAGTTCTGTAGCTTGAGGTCTGAGGATCATATCCCACGAAGAGGAGACCTGGGCAATGCTTCCCAGCATGACATGAGATACCCTAACACTGAGGATGCCATCTTCGAAAAGTACTCGATGTTTTGCAATGGAAGGCACTTGGGCTGCAACATCAATGCGAGACAGCCAGCTGTGCACATGCAGGTCTGCTGTATGGTCTAGTGGCTACTCAGCATTCATTGATGTTTGATCGCAAACAGTTTTTAGGACCCCCTGGTAGCGTCCTTGCTCCTAGTAGCGATGCCAATAGCCCATGCAGAATGCACCTTGGAAGTCTAGGACGATTTTGGTCCATCTCAAGAGGACGTGCAGTCGGTATCCGTCCTTCACGACTAGGCTTTGCAGTTCATGACATGTCTCGAACACTGGCCTTGTTGGTAGTGGCTGCCGCTTTGTGTATTGCGACAAAGGTGGCTGGGGGTACAAGTTCTTCAAGACTCTCAAGACCTCATGTATTTGCAACACATCGTGACACTTGGCTATGAAAGGTTGTTTTGCCTACATTTGTGAGCCAATCAGGGTGCAGTGGTATCTTAGCAATCAATCAATCAATGAATGATTCATTCATTCATTCATTCAATCAATCATTAAGTCCTCAAGCAAAGTAGAGACCGATATCATGAACGGAATCTTTGGAGAGGTAGTTTTGACAGTACTTGCATGTTGACAATACGGATAGAGATACAGCGCCGGTTGTTTGGTGAAATCTAAAGGAAGTCTAAAAGACGTCCGCCTAAAAACCAGGGTATTCTACAGTTTGCTTTGAAACACCTTACGTACAAGAATTGGATTTGGCTCTTTGACCGACTGAGCCTTCCTTCACTGGCTAAGGTACATGAAGAAGCCAGATGTCATCATTGAGAGACCTGGAATTGTTGATTACTGCTGCAAAAGTATTGTACCACTATACACAACACCCAGGCCATGACTGATGATGCTCAAGTGACAACTACAGACCAGGGTGCAGTTCAATCGCATTTTAGGTGTGGAGGGTCAACATCCATGTCGGTTTGTGCTTGGTGGGACATTGCATTTTGATGTTTCCTCTATCTTAGGACAGGAACCTACAAGGGCGGTCTCACCTATTTCTTTGTGCCTTGGCCTCACCTTGGTCGGTCTCCTTTTCGCAGATTGTTGGTTTTGATTGGAGGTGATGGTACAATCGAGGTCGGAAGTTTCAGTGTACGTGGATGTACACGGGCAGTTTTTGATTTGGCGTGCTCTGGCAATTGTCCTGTCTTTAGCAATCATGTCAGTGACCATTGACACCTGAACCCTTGAAAAGCTACGATGGGTGGGAGATATTATTGCAGGCGGTTTCACCTCACCCTCGTCACCCCAAAGTCCATTGAGACGCACAAGACACCGGGCGTCTAGAGAAATAGGCAATCATAACAACGAGCACGCACACACCTCAAAAAGATTTCGAGATCACTCCTTCATACTCCAACTAAATCCACTGCAGCCTCACCGCGGCCTGTACCATACAGTAACTACCTGTAGCCAGCCATGCTGTCGCAACGGCTACAGGCCACCATCTTGGATTGGATCCAACGCGAGGGTGGCCCATCAGGCCAGGTGGTCTCAGTGGATCGTCACCACCCAGACCTGGCCCCTCGCATGGACGGCGTCGGGTGTGTTGCTTATCGGCGTCGGAGTGAAGCAAGGTGGGCCCTAATGGAAGTGGAGAAAAAGGCAAGGAGCAAGGTGACCCTTTTGCCAAAAAACATGCAAAAAAACACGAGTGGTTTGATTGCCCCTGAGGACAATCCTGGCAGTTTCTTGCTGTTTGTTTGAATGTCCAGGTGCTTGCAAATTCGATGATTTGTGTTCAAAGACCCAGATCGCATCCCGCAAATCATGAGGTCTTTGCTGCCAACTGGTTCTGCCCGCCTTGCGCAGACTGCCTGCGGTCTTACCAGACCCCTGTTTGGGAGAGGAAGGCACACAAAAAGAGCCATACGATCAGACGTTCAGACTGACAAATTTGGCATCACAGTTCGAGATTTGGGCAACCAATGGCAAACTTGGAGCGGATCTTGGATTGTTCGAAGTTCGAATAATTTGGACCGCCCTAAAGTCATCTAAATTTGACTGGTTTGATATTCTTGGGTGGAGCTTCAATGTGACTCGCTGTGCACTGGTGTTTGATGGTCCGCTGGTGTTTGATGCAGGTCCGCTTCATTCAGGGCCTGGCAGACGATCAGGAGGGCTTCGACGAAACATTTCTTTCGAGTCATTGCCCCAAGTCTATAGAGCCAGTTTCGAGGAGGAACGCCTCAACCATCCTCAACCCAAAGGTGATCTTTTCGTTTGGAATTGGGTTTGCTTTGCAATACCGTACTCCAGACTCCACGGGTGGTTGTTTCATTTCTGCAGAGTGATCACTGCCCCACGGACGCAAGGAGACCTTCCAAGAGGTCATTGCCCACCTTCATGTGCCACGGCAAGCGTTGGGTGGATCCTTTCCTGGAGAGTTCTTCTGTGGCTGGAAAAGCATGAGGATGATTGGCATCCCATAAATCCAGAGGATCCCAGAGGTCTGTAGGGAACCATTTGTTGAGATACTATTACTGATGACCGGGTTTTGGCACGTGGCATCTGGATAACAAATCTGTAAAGGATCAAACAAACATTACTTTACTTCGAGTGAATCCCCACCATAACATTTCAGCAATCCTTTTTCATGTCATGGTGAGGGGCGTGTTGCCATGGTCGTGATGAGGTAACAATGATGCCTGCAAACTTGGGTGCCTGTCTTGTTACTGTATATTTCCAATAGGATGGACCGCAAAAATGGAGCATGGCCCGGGCTTGCACTTGCCGAGCATCTTGAACATACAACGGCAGCCAAGCATCTCCATCCAACTCTAGTTTACTTGCGCCTTTTGCTGACAGTGTGTGAATTCGCTGATAGTTAGGCAGCATGAATAGCTGTCAAAGCTTAACCACGAATCAAACGCTTTTTCATCGATTCAGCCTGACTGATCCTCTGCTGCTGGCTCATACAAATCATCCGGCGGCAGTCTCTTGGGCAAATCAAGTCTTTGCACTTCTGTGACAAGTGGCCTACGCTGTTTTCCTCGGCACCATCCACGAGACCGATGAAGTCTTCAACTGGCACTTTCCTTTGAGGTCGTGCCCACGGCGATCTGGCTTGCTGTTGAGGTGCTATACTCGCCACCTTCACACTCCAAAAAAATGCTGTTGAGCAGACTCCTTAAGTTTTCCTGGATTTTGTGATTAGCGAGAAGCTTCTACAAAAGCAACCAATCTCTCTGCCCACACATTTTGCAAACTTGTGGGCAGTGATTGTCAATGTGCGGCTGAGGACCTGGGCTCTTTGACGCCATTGCAGGAGCGGATCCGGGCATTTGAAGACCCAAGTGATAGAGAAGTGGCAGGTCTCCAAACCAACCTTTCGTACCACAAACATTCATATGATTCATATGTATATATATATATATGTGTTTTTTAATGTTGTGGTAACTATTCAAGGGATCTACTTCAAGGTTTGAGGGGCGGCCGTAAACAATCAGATTGTATGTGTGTGGCTCAGGTTCAGAGTGCACTTATATAATTGGATGTATGTATGTGTTTTGGCTTTGCCATGAAAGTTGCAAGCCGTTTCATGCCAGTTCAGAACTTTCTGTTTGAGTGAGGGTTGAATGCGAGAGTACAGTACAGAAGGATCTAAGGAATGTTGCTCGGTGGTTTCATCGAATTGAGAGGTTTTTGTTGTTGCGAATCAGGACAGAACAACAGATCATTTGTTTCGACCCGCAAGGACCAGGACGTGCCTTTCCGAATGAATGAGTCCCAAACCATCGTGGTCAATCTTGATGCGCGTCTTGGCTCGATCAGAGAGTTGCTAATGACACGTGTCGCCAGGGGTAGACTTTGAAACTTGGGGAGCAGATAAGTTCTACGCTGTAGAATCCTGGAATCAACGGAATATCAAGAGTCAAGGGTGCAATCAGTTTCCACTCTCTCTATGGCTTCACCCTTATGAAAAGAACCAACCGTGGAGACCTTGCTGGCGCCCTCAAGCGCGGGTGATCACTGCGGCAGTCAGATGTCTTGTGAATTTGATCAAGAGGAATTGACTCGTGTGCGTCAGGAAACATCAGGCTCTTCAGGTATTGAGTAAAATGAGTGACAAGGCTCGTGTGGTGTTTTAGCAACTGTGTCAACACTGACTGTCTACAACATCGATCACCGTCGGTCACCGTTGAAAACCCACTGAGAAGAGAAACCCGAAAACCACCCCTCCGAAGCAGCGAAGATGAGGAACCACGAGTTCCAGGGATTGATGAAGGCACGACTTGCACGTATTCCGCAGCTGCACCGTGCTTGAAGAAAGGGCACATGTACAAATATAGGTTACAGGTGCTATTACATCACAAGATGCTGGAAGCTGATGGTCTCTAGACATTCTTGTGCAGCAGTCACGTTTTTTTGAATTCATTTGGCCAGGTTGGCCTCTTGAAGAAATTGTTTAACATTGCTATTGCCTGCGCCTGTGAGAGATTCAAAGGAATGCCTGTACGAGAAACATCTATGGAGCCGGTTGATTGGCAGGAGTTGATATATTATGCGCCCTTCGTTACCTTGAACTCTTACCTTATTGCCGCTCGGCAGCAACGGAAGAGCAGCAGAAACTATCTCAAGGAGCCAAACGACGCAGGGGGTGATGACCAGCTAGTCCAAAGAATCACCAAATGGACTGAGACAGTTTCAATAAGACCTGCACCTCGCGCGTGACAGGAATCTCCGACACTGGGAAGACGAAAGCATGAGATACTGCTGAGGTGAACACTGCCTTGACGGGAACCCCTGAACCTGAACCCCCCTGAACCATGAACGGGTGGGTTTGCCTCAAATACGGCAGGATTCAGTCCAGCATCAACTGCTAGATGGATGCGATCCCAGACGGATTGGCACGATGTGAACAATGATACAAAGATAAAGTTTTTTCTACAACAATCTTGCAAACTCATGTGAGGATTGAACAGAAAGTGCTGCCACATGCTGCCATGCTGCCGGCATCCATGATAAGAACATCTAAGAATCAGCTCCCCAGCCACCAGTCGTTCCGCTCCGGAGCCGCTCGTTGAGTCGCTCAGGTCCAAGACGCGAAACTGGACAAGATCTGGGGTCCCTTGCCAGCCTTGCCCGTCAGCACAAAGAGTGAGTCCTTTTAGCTTCAAGAGTTGCACGGTACCCTTTGCTTTAAGGTGACGAATGTAGCAAATGCAGACATGTTCAATGGCTGTGGGAGTGTTTGTGTTTTTCTCCCCATTCCATGTCTGGTGGATCATGGACTGGAAGGACAGCAATTAGTGCAGGATTAAGACTGTTGACAATGGTTCACTGCTGTTGCTGGTCGAAAGGGTTGCAGTGAGTCGTAGCAAATCTCCGTCGAGTTTATCTACTTCATGTAGGGTCATAACCATCTCTGCACAGAGGAACAACAAAGTAGAGCACTACACACCGAAAGAAGTCTTTTCGCCTGAACCCAAAGCACATGTGCGACGGACAAATACCGCCTTGAGCGACGTCCTAAACCTTGGGCATTCAAAGGCTTGATGCCTTTGACTGGCAACGGTGAGATCCAAGTGGACTGGAAGATGCCCATCAAGTGACGTCCCCTGACGTTGGATCCACTGCCGATTTCCATCCGGCGGATCCGCTCAGCCGAGGCACTGCCGGCCCCACTGCTGCGTTGAATGCCTTTCTGCAGATGTCACCTGAGGGTGAGTTTGTGGCCCCTTGGGAGAAGATCCCTTTGCACGGCAGATGAAAGCATTCTGAACTCAACTTAGCATGATATTCCCTACCAAGAGCTGAGTTTCAACTCAATCTGAGCGTGCTAAACTCAACTGAGCCGACTTCCCAGATTGCTTGTGTTCAATTGTCACGTGTCCTTTTTCCAGAGAAGATTCGGGGGGGACAGCATTGTATGACATGAACATTTGCCAGCTAACAGCTATCCTGTATGCACACTGACAGAGACGTTGGTGTCCCTCCCTCAAACAATTTTAAATCTAAGATATCTAAGGAGAACGTGGTGATGTAGACAAATCCTGAACACGCAAGCCAACGAGGATGTGAAGGATGGTATGCTCAATTGTAAGACCGTGTTTCTGAATAAGCTGGCAGTTTTCCACTTCCCTTTGTTGTTGGAGGGCAGCTTTTCACAACTTGTGTGGCCTTGTGTCTTGTTCTGGAGCCAACTTCAGAGGGGGTCAAACACCGTGTATCAGAAAATGGCTGAGGTCGAGAACGAGCTCAAGCTGCTCGGCTGTGGAGAGCGGTGTCATTGTTCAGCAAGGATTAGTCCAACAGGTTGAGAGCTACGGTCATATGGACTCCTTGTTTGTTCATGAAGACCCTGCTATGCTTATGTTTGCCCCGTGTATTCAGTGCAGGGAGGTCTCATCCCAGTAAAGTATCTCACTGGCAGGACAGTTCAGGATTGGCTATGTGAGTCCCCAAGCACAGGCCACCAATGGTATTCTTGGTTTTGATGTCTTTGTCTTCGCACTGACTGTTCTACTCTTTCCCAGGTTCCATGGCTACTCGCAGCACATCTATTTGAGACGAGCCCAAGTGACGGTGCCACACTCCTACTTCATGCAAGCGGCCTTCCACGCCATGAAGTCCTGACCTCCACCGCACCCAGCCGGCTGGTCGAGCGGTCAGACGCGGAGCTTGCTGGGGACGTGAGAGTGTAAAAAGAGCTCCGTGAACCGCCGATGCACATGTGCTTCATGTGCGGAAGAGTTGTAAGTGAAAGGCGGATATGGTTTTTACGACGCCAGCACTGTCCTGAGAATGCTTCAACAGTGCCGTAACGTGCTGTACTTGTGACACAGAGATTGTACAATAAGCATAGTTGATAGAAGTGGCCCTGCTGTTTGCAGTGTGGTCCCATGTCATATGCCTGATTTTGCTAGTACTGTATCGTATGCATGGTTTTTGGGAGCGCAGAGTTAGCTGTCTTGATGACTTGTTGTTTCTTTCACTGGCAGTTGAGGATATAAGGTCCAATTGACACTTTAAACCCACAACAAATCTTGGGATTACAGACTCTTTCACGATACGGTTCAGGCTGCCCTGTCGCAGAGCCGTGTGCAGCTGCATGAAGCGGAGGAGAGCTTTCTGCTTGGCACATTTGATACCTTAATTGAAACACAGTTCTCAAGTTCTGCAGCAAATCCCTGGCCCTATGACCTAACCATTGTCCATTGCTCTTTTTCGGTCACACCCAGGATGTGATTTACGACAATCGAGAGATTGTCACTCGGGCGGAGCGCTACCGCCTTCCAGCGCAAGCTGCGATGGAGGTCAGGTTTTTCGTCCGTTACTCAGGATTTTGGAGGAGGGCCAGTTGGGATAATAATGTTGGGCGTTCAATTTTACCTTATATACTTATTATATATTTATACATATTAATTAGCATTCACACAAGAGGTGCAGGCGTTTTTGCATAACGTTGCATAATGTTGCATATATACAAGGGAGTCGTCCAAAAATGCATGTGATAAGTGTAGTAAACGAATGTCCATGCAAGAGTTCGGACAAACCCAATTGAAATACATTAACTTATATCAAGTAATTATACGTTTTCCCGTTTTCCTCGTTGTGACCCGGCCTTGCCAATGGCATCCAATGGCGCAGGCATGGGATGCGGTACGCTTGCAGCAGGACACCCGCTTCGATGCCACAGCAGCTCGCAGGGGTTGCCCAGAGAGACGAGCCCATCGTGGTTCGGGGAGAAGAGGATTCGCCCAAGGGTGGCTGACTATATGTCATAGAGTCATAACATGTCATAATCACCATAATCTCACTGGTGTTTAACATGTTTAACCTTGCAGAAGAGTGTCAACACCAGTCCAGTGTTAAACCTTGCAGAAGGGTGTAGATTGCAGCATGTCGCAACAAAAGCACAACAGCACCGTGGCGGGTTTTGCCAGTTGGATGGGGCCAACGGTCCAACGGTTTGGCTGAGGCTCCACCATGTTGGCAGCTTCAATGTGCTTCTTGGGGCCTTTGGACGCCAAGGCACGAGAAGACTGGCTGGCCAGGCGCGGGTCGGAGGTCTGAAGCGATCGGCCCGGGAGGCAGGGGAATCCTGGATGCAGCAAGCTATGAAGTTGAAAGTGAACAATCAGAAGCATCGTTTCCCACGCACACCTCGTTGATCTTAGCAGATTTTAGCTCATTATAGTTGATCTTCAAGCAGGATCAAAAGGATCCATCGGGGTGTTGGTTCTATTGATTTTCTTCGGTTGAGCAAAACAGGTGTACTGTACATTGTCTCTCTCTCTATATATATATCATTATCATTCATTATCATTTATATTATACTTATAATATCATACAATCATATATATATATATACATTATACGCATTGATATGTTCAACGTTTGTTTCCATGTTTCCTGAACCCTCCTTCCCGTTTGTCCGCTCTTCCGTCTTCTGCAAGGCTGTCGCAGGTGTTGGACGGCTCCGCAGCGGCGGCCTCGGCGGTGGAGAACCTGGTGCCCTTCAGCACACCACGAGAAGCCGAAGAGGAATTGGCTACTGAGGCTTCGAGGAAAGAAGATCTTGAGGTGTTTGTTTGTTTGTTTGTTTTTTCACCTGATAGAGAATGATGGTGGTAAACACAGTTTCTCTGTATTGCCCAGATTTTTGCTTCGTGCCAAAAACCGTTTACACACAGCTTGCAACGAACGAAGAAAGCACGGCGCATGCACCTTCATCTCGGGCAGTGGACACGTCCACGTGCCGGAAGGCGATGCGCCGCTCCTGGCGACTCCTTGGCCTACCAGAGTCACAGCTCCTGAGCGCCGCGCTGGTGAAGGTGATCTGCTGCTGGCTTCGTCTCATGGAAGACATCCAACGCCCCCTACCAAATGGTTTGTTTGCTCCAGTCTGCATTGGCACAAAAACGAAGGGTGTTCATGGTCCATTCCATTTCATGGAGTTGGACCTTGTCAATGCGCACATGCCGCAAGCAAGGGAGAATCCACGGGTGAACTATCCTGTTGAGCACCCACATCCTGGACGTTGGAGGAAATAAGAATCTAAAAACTTATGGATTCTGGTTTGCCAAGTGGCAGTCCAAGCATTGAACTAATTTCCTTTGGGGTCAACATTGGGATGCTTGACCCAAGACATCCCAGGCATAAGCTTCCAAAAAACGGTCCATCACTGTCCATTAAAGTCTAGTGACTATTTGGAGAAGACAAAGAAGTGTAACATAGTACTAACTCTTCCCCTGTGCTCGATCGGCAGGTCTCCTTGAATTGGCCCTTCCTCCTGGACACCGGCGCAGGGCTCTGGGCTCCGGGCCAAATGGGATTCATGAGCTTGGCGGGCCTGTGACTTATCCAACTTGTCGCAAAGTGGACTACCTGACTGCTACTTGTGCGAGTGGTAGGTGAATATGCGGAAGACGATATGATGTTTGTCGTATGAAGAGTGTAGGAATGATTCAACTGTTCGATTTCAATGGTCACTGAGAGGTACTGAGTGTGTCGTCTTTCACCGGCTCCAACGATGAAACCTAGTTCTGACGCAACATGAAGAACCTTGATGAACCTTGTGCTTTGCACCAACCTTTGCCGTGGCTGGCTACCACCCTCAAACACATACAACATCATACAACCACTTGTTCATGCTTTTCCATGCTTTTCCTAGAAGACAGTCCACTGCTTATTGTACCATTTGTAGGAAACCTGTAGGTTTTCTCTCTTCACATACATATACACAGTAATACAGTCATGTCGAATCTCCTTCGCTTGGCAGAACTGGCTTCACCCTGAAGCTTGGAAGCGTACGTGCGCATGCCGCCAGACCAAACACAGAAAAGGGAATCCTCACTTAAAGCAACTTGCAAGGATCATCGGGTCGTCCCATATTTATTTGTATATCCAAAGCACCACGTTCCTCATCCGATCGATTGATCCCATGTCCGCGTTTGTCATCCGCGAGGATCCCCAGCTGCAGGGTCGGAGGTGGCTGGTGGCCGAGCTGGCTCGGGAGACCAACTTTTTGGAAGTGAAGGCGGGCTCCGTTCGATCTGATTTGGTCGGCTCAACAGCAGAGATGTCCATCAACTTATGGGCGTCCAGGAGTACATCATGTCAAACCGAGCCGCTGGAGGCAGCCATTTTGTCCGAATTAAGTGCTGGGGCTTGGGGACACCCAGAGTTTGGAGGTGATAACAAAGTTCAAAGTCAACTCAAAGATGTGCAACAGTATGTGCAAATATGATCAAATATGTGCAACATATTTGCTCTACCCACTTCGCCTTTGCAGCCTTGCTACGGCTTGGGTCCATACAGCGCTTGGCAGGAGCAGCCACCAGGACGTCCAAACACAGCTTCGCAATGTGAAACACAGGTTCAGCAATCAGCAGAAGTTGGCTGCCGTGCTGGACAGCAGAAGCGTTGTAACATGGGGTCACTCCCAGGTGTTGTCTCAAGGGCACTTTCAAACAAGACCAACTCAAAGATGTGCAGCAGATTTATGATGATGTATGGATCCACGGAGGCTTTTGATGCACTCCGGAAAGATGGAACTGTTGTGACATGGGGTACCGCATCGCATGGAGGTGATAGCTGTGTCCAACAGTGGCTGAAGAACATGCAAAAGAGATAGCAGGTGTGGTCCTCATGCTTTTGCCACCCTTTTCTGATCGAACAGCAGGCAATAGCAGCAGGAAAGTCCAAGATCGCCTACGTGCAGTTGATTTGCAGTTCCCACTTCGGTGCATTTGCTGCCATCCACGTGCTGGGAGTGTGAAGGCTTCTCGAAAACAAATGGCCAGAGGCCTTGAGCCCGAATACGATGCCTCAGTGTTAGTACAGTACACAGGATTTTATAGCCACTTGCAGACTTTGTAGCATGTGAATAAGAGCAAGTCGTGTCACCTGATGAGCTCTTTCTCAGTGGACACCTGATGCCTGTAGGCAATAGTTGCGGCCATTCCATGACATCCATGCTTAGACAAGGAAATAAGCAAAAGGCTTTCTTGGTTTGTTTTGTTTAAGGATTGACACCTGTAGATTAGTTCAAGTGCAGTTTATTCTTGGAATTTGCCTCTGTGATATGAGCATCTCATTTATCATTGAGAGCGCCAGATACAAGCATAGTCTTTTGCAAAACCGGGTTCCCTTCCCATTTCAGGGTCACAGAAAGTCCAATTAAACTACGTATGTCCAATTCAATCCAATTCATGTTTGTTGGTTATACAATAAAGTAGTTATTTAACTACTGATAGATTGATATATATATACATATATATATACATATATATATATAAGTGTGTATATATATGTATATTGCGCGGCAGCTATCTTTTTTTTGAACGAATCACCGCCACCGCCAGGCCAAGAAAGAACTGTTCTAGACATCGAGCTGGTCTAGACACAGACCACCCGGCATTTTCATGCGTATCCGTTCTTTCCACTCCGTTTCGGAACCTTTCTGGACGTCGACTCGGTCAGACCTGCCAGGCCTCAGATCCGGATGTGCTCCCGAAGCTCCAGAGGGCCATGGCGGCGGAGTAACCCGTCTGGTGGAGGGCGGTGGCAGTCGTGTGGAATCGGTCATTGCCTGTGGAATCGGTCATCGGCTTGGGAAGCACTTGAGAAGCCGAAAGCCTGTTGCCTGTAGCCCGTATGTAGAGGCTCAAAGGCACCATTGAAGCCACCAGGGCTTTTCCGCCACTCCCAGGTACACGATTGTTCTACAAGGTGGAGAAGCCTT